CAAACTATTCGGCTTCGATACACATTTTTTTGCTTATAGCATTTTCAAAAATATAAATGAAAAAAAGTTAGTTCTTATCAAAAATTATATGACCGATATCCTTGTATAATGTAAAAAAAAAACGATCGTTTGTACGTTGCCCCTAGGCATTGATTGTAAAGTCTAGTGCGATGAATTAAAAAACATTTAAAGTTATTGAACGAATTTTTAATAAAATAAAGTTTTGTAAAAAAAAATTTCGTCTTACACTTATTACTTTCATTTGATTCTTGTACAAGTAACAAAAGCAATGCTGTCACCCTTTGAAGCTAAATGATAAATATCATGTATATCCATGCACATATATAATACGTATGTATAGGTATGATATTCTCAGTGTCGGTTAGACACTCGTACGGCATGTCGAGTGCATTCACTCGGATTTGTGAGTGAACGAAATTTGTTGCTCTGAAAGCTGAGTAAGCGCTCGGTATTTACTCAGCTAGTTGGGTGTCGACACGTCACCACGCGGCTGAGCGCCAAACGTACACTGTGCACCTAAATGGAAAGTATCTCTAAGTGCCGGAGAAAGTTCTTGCCAGTTTAGTGGGTATGGTTATAATGAGTCCCACTCAAGGGACGGTTTATACAATCTTCTGTCGTGCATAAAGGCATTCTGGATGACCTGAGGAGAAAAAAAATAGTAATAATAATACTAATAATAATAAGAAAAACAATATTTATGGTTATATAAGTCATAATAATGATAATAATATTGATAGTAGTAATAGTTATGGTCATAATTAAAATACTAATAGTTACGAACCTCACACTTTTTATAACAATATTTTATGAAGATAAATACTCTGCATTAAGCGTTAGCCCTTATTTTTCCGCCAGTGCCCGTTACCACTGCCCTAATCGTTTCTCTTGGGAGCGAAAGAAGCGAAGCAACTCTATCAGAAATAAACGAAACCTCGAGATAATAATAAGACTATTGTTGATAATTATGACGATGATTATTATAATGTTAAATATGACTATTTTATCAATAACAATAATAATAATAGTAGTTAAAATAATAAGTATAGTTTTGACAATAATAGTACAGATACTACTGATAATAATAATGTTAATAATGATAACAACATAATGATTATGATAACTTAGAAAATAAAAATGATGTAAGAATGATGATAGTGATAGAAACGTTAAAAATAATCATGATAGTGATCATAATGATGACGACAGAATTTAAAAGAATGAATAATAATGATAGTAATAATGTTTATTATAACTATTTTATTGAACGTGACGATATAATGACGATAATGATGAACACAGTAAAAATGATGATAATGATAATAATAGTTATAACAATAATAATAATGAAAATGATTGTATTGATTGTAAAAATAATTAGGTTTTGAATAATGACACAAATAATTATAAGTTTAATGATCATGCTAATGTCAATGATGCTGATAGTAATGGATCTAATATTAATCACGATGATAATAACAATAATAGTATTGGTAATAACAATGATTTTGATGATGAAAATAGTGGTGATAACAATGTTATAACTATTAATAATAGTGACGATCATAATGAGAATGACGATGATGATAATAATAATGTTATTGTTGATGACGATAACGATACTTATTAAAGTAAAGACAATGAAGATGGTTTCAATAATAATAATCATAAAGATCACGATTCTAATTGTTATAATGATAACAACAATTATTATTTTAAAGATTACGATGATACTGATAAAAAAAATACTTATATTAATAATTCTAATGATGATGATTATAATAATTATTACAAATTTTAATGTTATAAGTATAAAGACAATTATATTGACGATGGCGATGATGATAATGATAAAAATGGTAATGATGATATGATAGAAAATGGTTATGACGACGATAATGATAGTAAAAACAATAATAATGACAGAGACAATGATAATAAAAATGAAAATATCGATCTCGATAATAATAATAATCTTTGTAATAACAATGACAATGATACTTATGATGATAATGACAATAACAATTAAAATTCTGACGGTAATATAACTTATAATGATGATAATAGTTATGATAAAGGTAATCATTTTTTCAAATTCATCATTTATACATGACAATAATGATAACAAACATAATGGTGATGATGATGATGATGATGATGATGATGATGATGATGAGGATGATGATGATGATGATGATGATGATGATGATGATAATGATGATGAAAATGATGATGATGATGATGATGATGATGATGATGATGATGATTTATGAATATATTTTAGAAATTTTTTAAAGCTTCTTTAGTTACAATTGCTTCGGTACAGCATTCCTTTGTTTTTTCATATATTTGGTCTTTAAGTTCATTTTTCAAGATGACGATGTAGTTTTTGTTATGGTTTGACCGTCTCATAATGAGATAGTCGTAATCGTATATATCAAGGAATTTTGTAGATACTCGCTACATTGATTTTAATAAGACATCTTACAAAAGGCAAAGTAGGCCTCTGCAAAGAAAGTTCATTTTATTGTTAGATTACTAGTACATTTCCCTATCGTGCAATGTTTTTTAATTTAAGAAAGTTTAAAGTACGCAACGAAAAATATTGATTGGTAAATTTGTCTTCTTCTTAGTCATTTGAAATTGAAGTTGGAGGTTGAAATCGCTTGACAGTATCATTGTATAGAGATAGGCTTATTTAACTTCTGTAAGAAAAAAAAGGAGGACGTGATCACACTCCAGCCGTGGCTATTAATCCATAGCAATAATAATATTGACAAACATTCTCCACATAAATTGTTTTAAGATCTTACTGTGTGGCATTTTGACAGAAGTATTCTTCATAATAGTTATATTAACGATGAATGCGATTTTAGCGTGCTACGGTCTGAGTCATAACCATGGTCAAGACAAGTAGTTTTATAACTTTAATAAGAATGATTATTTATAAATTATCGTAGTAATACACAACGAAGTTATAGTTATACTCATAATAGTAAGACTGTAAAATAAAATTGTGATGGAAAAAAATTAAAATAACGATCGCACTGTAGGTGTTTTTCAAACAAATAATGAGAGGTACTTAAATGATTGTCATTGTCAAATCAAATATGGAAGCAATAAAAATCTATTCATAAAAAGATCGACATAATGGTAATAATGTGCGTAAGATGGATTAGAAAAATATAGTATTGACAAAAAATCTAACGATAATAGTGTGGTAATGACCATAACCATGGTAGTGATAACAAAGCTCATTTAGATGACGATAATAACAAATCGTGTTTTTTTGATTATGATAGTAATAAAAACAACTATTATAATAGTGTAAAAGCTTATTATCGTTCTGAGGAGTCTAGCTACAACAGTTGATATGATAATCATAATGATATAAGCAACAGTGATAGGCAAGGTGGAATGATGGTTATTTTAATAATGACTATTGGTAGCATGACTACTAGAAAATTAGTAATTGTAGTATATATTTTGATAATAATGTATGAAATGATCGTGATACTAATGTTAATAGTAACTGAGAAAGTGACATTGAAAAATAATGTGGCTTATAATAATAATATGACTTAAAAGGCGATAGTTATTTTTGTATTTTCATAAACAGATAAGAATTTAAAAATATGTCTTAAACAAATATCGGAAGTATGCAACCACTTTTAATAAGCCCAAACATCTACGTTTAATAAATTATTGCAATTCTAAGAGATGCATATTATGTTCACACATTTTAAAATGTACTTTTACTTTGAAGTGTAAAACAACTGAAAAAGTTTGCGTTACTATGTAATAGCGAAATATCAGCCAATACAAGTTATTTGTTTTTCAAGTGAATTTTTTTTGATTGAAAAGAAGTTGTCAACATTTTTGAACAAGCTTTTTTTTAAAATCAACGTATGCTATTGTATTAGTACAAAAAATGATAAAGTAACAGAAACTTTTTTTTAGAAGTAAATATTGCTATAAGACGCCAATTTTTCTCAAAAGCTATTATTTTATCGTCTTTCTGTGATCGAGTGATATAGAAGATAATAAATTAAAAAATGACAGGATAAACTTATTTTAGGATTTATTTTTATAATTAAGATAGTAAAATAAAACATTTTATAAGTGAACACTGTATTTTTTTATAAGAAAGTTCGTTTAGTTTGATTTTTTGCAGTACCTGAATACATGCTTATTGTAACGTAGTGTCAAAGGACTTACATCTTATTGATATTTGAATAATTAATTCACCCTTGCTTGAGACACTACTAAAGTAATATGGCTTTTAATGTCGTGTTATAATATTTAACTATGGAGAAACATGTTACTATTTCTACATAAGAGATAGCAGCAGAAAAATAAAAAATGATTCAAGTGCATGTTCTATTAAATATTATGATGTTAATGTCAGAAATAATTTTAAACAGTTTTAGAACTTCTAACAAAAAAAAGTTTCTTATAAGATATTCAAACGGTTAGTAAAATATTGGTTTATCATGGTACTTTGTAACATAACTTTAGTAATTTAATTTTCTAAGTATTTGTGTATTTTTTTATACGTGATGGACTGGAAGTACATTTTATGCTTGTATATTTGAAAAGAAGCGATAGCTGATTTTAAGTATAACTGCTATAAATTCTCCTAGCAGTTAGTTAAATGAAAAGTGATTACTATATTCATTGATGGAAAAAAAAATTGATATTAAAATTATTTTTATAACAATGCAAGTATTTATTTTCGTTATACAATCTAAAAAAATGCTAAAAATGTATGATATAATTGCGAAAACAAAAACAGTTTTTACTTATCTTTGCACCTGCAAATTTTTGTAGTTCTAAAAATTTACTAATCATTTTTCAAACAATAGAAAAAATGACAAAGTTAAACAATTTACTAAATACCATTTGTACAACCCAAGAGACTTCTGGCAAATATATTATAAAAATCTTTTTAAATTCAAGGAATTCAGCTTATAACTTACCATTCTCCACCACTCTGAGTGACTCTCTTCAGGGAAAATTGCATCATCTGACTTAAGCAAAATAGGATGATCTTTGTGAAACTTTTTCTTTAAATTTTTTTTAGTTACGCAATCAATATTAGAATCACCGTGATTGAAAAAGTTTTTTAAAGTCTTTATATCGGCATTAAAACTCAAGTTTTTTAAATTTACTAGTTCATTATTCCACTTGACATAAAAGTTATTATTTTCTACAAAGATTCTTCCAACACCTTTTTTTTCTTGATTGATTTCTTGTACCGTAAAAAACAACTTCTTATTTTTGGTAATCGTACCATAATCTTTTAAAAGAATAGCTTGTGTAATGTAATTACTCCAATTTTCAGCATTTTTCTCAGTAATACAATTACTATTTTTGCTGTAATATTAAATTAATATAATTATTTTGTATAAAGATTAAGGTAATAGGTTTATTGAAAGTAAGTCCTAATTAAAACAACTAAATTTATTTTATCATGAGCATTGTTAAGAATGGTAAAAAGATCACATTTGTAAGGCATCTCATGACAATGAAACGAAATTAATAAGGAACTGAAGAAAGCTCAGCAAAAAAAAATTTTCACGTAGAACTCTGGCTGACAACAGTAAGGCAATCAAACTGAATCGATCACTTTATTGTTATATACCCTTGATGGCAGGCTCTTGGTGGTCCCAATTTCCCTACAATAATGACTTTCCCTGTAGTCCTCACATTATACTGCCCTGTGACAACTGCTATGAGACTTTTTATGCTTTTTCTCCCTTAGCTAACCCTCTTTCCTTCTACTAACAATTCGTGGCCCATGCAGTATGTGCCATACTGTATGTGACACGTCTAAGGCCACTGCGTCATCGTCCTCATTTGTGTTATTTACTCTAGTACCTTAAGTACGATTGCTTAAGAAGTATGTGTGTTATGTTGTTTGTGTTGTAATAAAAAGTAATTGTTTCTAAAAATGAATGAAACGTTTTTATGTAGATCCTCATTTTTTAAAATGGGTTTTGGTTAGTTTCCCGCAAGTTTATTATTGTGTAATTACATATATGGGTTGTGTTAGCACTTTTTCTTCTTACGTTATAGCTTGATGGATATGCCCTCATGGGTCATACATTTTATTTATAATTTTGCCATTAAAATAAATCGCTTTTATCTAATCCTAAATTTACTAACATGTTGCTTCTAAATATATATTTAATTATTACAGTAATTATTACATATTTATATTTTACATTTGGTTTTATTCAAACTCCAACACTTGTTTCGTACATTCGTACACCTTTTTTTTATTGTATACTACTCTGTGTATTAATTCATACATAGCATCTTTTTTACCACTTAGTGTAAAATTTTTTCTGTCCCTTATTATTAATACATTTGTATTGATTTTTTAACATTTACTTATTTAACCCTTCACATAACAAACAGAACGTATACCAGCAATTATAATTTTTTTATCTACTAACAAGTCTTTCACCTATTGATTTTTTCATTTTCCTACATTTCTGTATGTATTTTTGTCGAGAAAAGCACTTATCCATTTTTTTTGATCAGAAAATAGTATTATTTATGCTTCGATATTGAGCTGCAGCGCTTAACTTAGCCAAAGTATGTTTATTTATTATAATAATTGTTCATCATTATTTGCCTGTTGATCTTGCTGCTACTGATCATCTCTTATTCAGATAAGTGTTGGTTATAGTACCACAGAATTTATTGCATTCTCGTTTTCTGCGACGTTGTTTTCGTTTCTTGTACCTGCAGACGTCCTTAATGAATTTGGTGTTATCAGAGCCCTCTCACTTTAAAATGACATTTTGATAAGAAACTTTGGAATAGAGAAAGGGAAGGCATCAGAGCTAGGAATACTAAATCTTTGCACCCCAGGTACCAGGGTTTCTAGGGTAGAAGTTATCAGTTTTTCATTATGTTAGTAGATTTCTTTAATTAATTCATTTTTTGCTGCACGTATATTTAATTGTTTTTTTTTGTAGCCCACTTTTTCATGTACAATACACAATGCTTTTACTAAGTTTTTTTATTACATTTTATTGTAACGTCGTTATTTACGTTACTTACTTTAGTGCGCACATAATCTTCAAATATTCTAAAGTACGCCATATCCTTAAAAGGAAGCAAGATATAGCAAAAATAACAAATTTTACAGGTTTCCTAAAGAGAAAAAAACATCGTGGCACACAAATAGAAAGGTGTTTAGTTATGTTATGACATAATCCCAAATTTTAGTATTTTCAACATTTCTCAATAAAATCAAGGTAAAAAATTGTTGAAAAAATTTTAGCAGAATTGCAACCACTATTTTGAATATGTCGGATATATTTCTCATTTTTTAGTCCAACAATAACCTTAAAAAATATTTTAAAAAACGCGAAATCACGGACGGACAGATGGATTGATTAAACATAACTACTTACATATGTACACACGTGTGTGCAATTTAAATAAGTAATTTTATTGTCAATGAGCATTATACCAATGTGCTGATCACAATACTGAACCCTTATGACCACATTATGGGAACGACGCACTTTCTGAAACACACACCGATGAACATGTTTATAAAAAGATTTTATTATTTTCTTACTTAAGTTTTTTTTTTATTGTACCAATGATCATTAAGTTCTTATCCCTCAACATTTCTATTTCAAACTCTTGCTCTCTCCATAAATTTATAAATATATTTCAATTATTTCTCAAGTTCTTACTTCTGTAGTGCGTCACATGTGAAGCAACCCGTTTTTTTTTGTAAGTCCCTCAAGAGAAAAAGTTTTTGAGAGAGAAACTGCTTATTTTAACGTCTGTTTGTGCCCCACATTCTTCTATCATGCTATTATCTGTGAGTTAGCATTGAGGTGAGAAGGAAATTTGTCTAAGCTGGTCCCAATGCTTCTTAATCCCTTCCATTATTCATTCCATTCCCTATGTGATCTTGTTGTTTTTGAGACATGGCACTTTCAGTGCACAAGCTTTTTCAATTTTGTTAACGTGTTAAATTCGTATTTCCTTATTTCTCTGTGTTTTCACATTATGGTTTCTATAAAAAATGTCAACTATCCCGTAGGGCCCTCCTTACTCATTGTCATATTTTACTTTAGATAGTTCCTTTAATACATATGCCATTTTAAATTTAATAAGATAGTTTGTCCTCAGTGTCCTATTGTAGTGCTTCTTCAATCAGTATTTGCTTTGTTTTTTAGTCACCGTTGCTAATGTTCTTGATAATGTGAGCGTTCTCGTTACATGTTGCCATGATTTTGTACATTTCTGGCCTGCTCGGGATCTTGGCTTGACGGGAGTTTTGTCTGTTGGTCAAATGTTAGTGAGTAAAGAGTGTAGCCTATGCTCTTGTCCTTAGACGTATTGTAGGCGAGCATATACAACGAAAGTATATTTAACAAAATAATAAGACATTTAACAAAATTATATAGCACTAACTTATTGGTACCAAAAATATACACACTGTCGTTGATACTTGAGTTTTCTCTTCTATCTTAAAATACAACATAAAATAGACATTTTTTTAATACTAGGAGACTTTATTATTAAATTAGCAGACACTTAATTTTATGATAGCAACTCAAAACTGGTTTATGAATTTTTACTAGCTAACAACTATCTTCAAAAATTGATTGATAAATTTGGAAATAGAAGAATAAATGCCTTACGAAACTTAAGAATTGCCATGGAAATGATAATAATAACAAACTTATCTTATATTTCCTGTATGTTTCCTACATAGACAGGCATATTGAATATTACTATAAAAAGCTTCACGTAAGACTTGTATACAGCTTAAATGATAAATTCAATCTGATATTTTCACTTAAAAAGGATATAACTGAGCCACTTGACAATAAAAAGCTTATTAACCATTTACCATACCATGTGTCAATTGCAGCTGCTGTAATGTTGGTAAAATATTGAATGCTCTAAAATGAAGAATAGCAAAACACAAAAGAGACATAAAAAAACAAAAAAGATAGAACAGTACTATTACAATATAGTATTAAATTTCAACATAACTGTAATTTTGATAAAATAAAAATTTCAGACATTGAACAAAATTACAGAAAATGCCTTTTTTTCAAAATGTTAATTTACATGAATTTAAAAATAATATTGAAAGACAAAAAGACACAGAAGAATTAAAAAACTGTTCTCAGTATCTCGTTAAGTCCATTTGAAAAGAGCACCAACTCCCCTTTCATAAAAGTCAAAGATATTTCATGCACTTAACTTAATTTTCGTGCACTGTATGTTATCAAAATTTGTATTCTTAGTAATACTTCTCATTACTTATAGTTTTTTGTACCTAATGAGGACCAGGACTTTGTCCAAACGGCCAAAACGTTCTTTTTATTATTAATAAATACAAAAGTATGATAGTGACACCATTGGGCGTTATTTTTAATTATTTAGTAACTGCTATTGAGCGTGTTGTTTAATAATTTTAAGTATTCTGTTACAACACGATGCATAAGTTTTATTGCATCGTTGCTCCGAGGGTGAAATTATGTACTTCTCAGTTCTCTGATTTTTAATAATCGCATTAGTTCGTCCATCACTTTGTTCGTAAAATGCATCCCCCAGTTTGATATTAATTCTTATGGTAGTCCAAAGTATGCTAAAAATGTATTTGTTTAGACTTTTACCTTTTTTTCAACTGTTACTTTTTTAACCAAAATAACGTTGGACGTGTCTAAAATGAGCATAGCTTTCTTTGTTTATATACGTGCTATTTTCTTAGTCTTACATGATCTGCATCCAGGTATAAATTGCTTCTTGTCAGCTTTCATGTTCCTGTGATAAGGGTCCTTCGCTTTCTTATGTTAGGTCTTGTTCATTTTTTTCAACTGTTGTTTCGTGGTTTTCTTCAATAACTTTATGTGTTTGATCGACTGGTGATACAACTAGAATGTTTATATGAAATGTCACTATAATCATAAGATTCTTGAAAATTTTCTCAAATTGATTTACAAAGTAGACCCATTGACTTATTTTAAGTATTGCCAAGTCACGTATCACGCTTGTCGACTTTATATCATTTATCATTGCTAGTGCCTTAATTGACATGATGTATATCTTTTTATGATGTCGCTGACTGTCTTTTCCTTATTTATACCTGCACTCATAAAACGCGTCCATTATTTCTGTATTTAGCATGCTTTCTGATACCGTCATGAATGCTAGAATATCTTAACAATGAAATAGGTGATATATTCCTTTATAAATCCTTTGAAGTGGCTATATATTTAAATCGTCTCTTGGTAGCCATGGATGTTATTCGTGTGGTAATCATGTTCTGTAAAATATGTACTTCTTGAGCCCTGAAAGGTTAGATAATACTTTTCCCTTGAAAT